GATGCGATTCCTTTAGCTGCTTGCTAGATCTTCGCCTCATTGTTTAGATTTTAAGGTATTTGATCTATAGAATTGGACCTAATTTTTACTTCTGTAGTTTTCACTTGTGCATCACTATGCGAGTGAACTCTGATCTGCATTTCGTACCATGAACGAGAAGGATTTAGGGTTTTGGTTCATTGTGCGCGAATCCGGCAAATTTGGCCCAAGCTGTGATCGAGATGGCCTATTGGGCCTGGCTGTTTCCGTTGAGTAGAGAAGGTTTATTGGGCCGAGCTCAGTTTTTTAAAGTCCAATAGAATATAATATGAAATTATATATTTATGTATTAAATATCACAAATTTATAAACGTTATATTATTTTCTAAATGGAAACTATTTATTATAAAATTTCTTTGTAATTAATATTTTAAAAAAAAGTATAAAAAATGAGTCAACTATTTTTACGTATTGAATATCACAAGGATTTGTTGTGGAGGACGCGTGTAAGGATAAATCCCACGAAATCCAGGGTAGCATTGGGGCCCACATTCACGTGGCAATATGGATCTCTCAGTGCCATAATGCGATACGTGGCAATATCAAAACACGTGTCACCTTTGCATTAACAGGGGAATCGAAGAGGGGACCATTTTCCATCGCGTCGCGTCTAACATTAACACACCCTGGCAAAAAGAAAAAGATGAGCCATCGATGTGGCTTTGGCGGTAGGGTCCACATAGACTCAATTTGTTTACGAATGAGACAAAAACTCATTTCCCCAAAATACCCTCCGCGTCTTCGTGGTGGTGGTTTTTTTTTATTTTAATGATGGATATAAAATAAAAAATTGTAATTTATATATTATTTTAAAGTAAAAAAAAAAAAAAAAGGAAAAATGGAAAAACTTTTAAAGGGAGGAATAAAGGCACGTGACAGTGAGGGAGGCATCAAATCAGGGGTGAAAAAAGAATAATTGGAAACATTTGGGCATAAATTTAAATATAAGAGAAAGTGTGGGCCTTTTGGTAATTTTGCAGGAAGATCTTATCCGATTCTTCATCGTCTTCTTCGTCTTCGTCAATCCCCAAAACTTTTTTAAATGCCCTCTCAAAACTCCTTAAATCAAATCCCCCCGATCTTCATTTCTATTACTTTTCTCCTCCGATGGCGACTGGTAAGAGCTACTCCTCCCGCTCCAAGTTCCGCTTTCTTCCCGCTAGCGAAGTACCCAACCACCGCCGCAGTACTGGCTGCGGCGATTTCGTCTTCGAAATCGACGAATCCGACCTCTTCAACTCCCCGCGCGGCGACGGAGTTTCCAAAACGCGAATCTCCAAGCGGATATCGGCGAAGGTAGTGGACGCTAGAGACGGAAGCGTAACGACAGCGGCGGCGTTGCCGGTTAACATCCCGGACTGGTCGAAGATCCTGAGAAACGAGTACATCGAGAATCGGAGAGATAGGTTCGAGGAAGAGGCGAACTGCGGCGATGAGTTGGAGAAGGATCGATTTAGGATTCCGCCGCACGAGTTTGTGGCGAGGACGAGGATGGCGTCGTTTTCCGTTGAGGAAGGAATTGGAAGAACGTTGAAAGGGAGAGATTTGAGTAGAGTTCGAGATGCGATTTGGCTAAAAACTGGATTCGAAGATTGAATTGAATTCAAATGGATCACAACACGAAGAACATAATAGTTTTGGGAATATTCCTTTTAGAGTATACGAATTCCACTAAAAGTTTTGATGGTTTTCTCTTCTCCACTTCCATCCCTCACCTTTTCCTCTGTTACTTCACCGGCGGTTCTGGGCGGCGTTTCTGATCTGTTTTGTATTTTGTATTTTGTATTTTTAATTGCATGAGAGTTTTACCATAAACGGGTAGCTGCACGCGACTTGAGTACATAACATGATTGAAACCCTACGGGACTGGATGTGCCGTACTTATCAGCACACTATCTATCCATGTATGTGCACATGGACCAATTCATATACTTACCTTGATCTTGACTTGGACACAGTCCATGTATGTGCACATGAATCAATTAGGCGGGCTCATATACGTACAAATACCTGAGTTTGACTTGGTCTGGCGATACCTCAGAAAAAGAAAGGTTCACATAATATCATGATAAACATAAATATCGAAAGTACGGGTTCGTATTAACCTGCATAACAAGGAAGTATCATGATGCACATGAAATACATACATATATCAAGTCCCATAATTTTGGTTCATAACATAACATTAATTACATTTTCTTTACATTTCCAATAATTTTGGTTTGTATGTGCACATGGATCAATTAGGCATGTGCACATGGACCAATTAGGCAGGCTCATATACGAACCAATTAGGCAGGCTCATATACGTACCTTGATCTTATCTTGACTTGGACTGGTTGTGTAGTACTTATTCACACACGTCCATGTATGCACATATAGATTCACCAGGCGGGCTTGTACAAATACCTGAGTTTGACTTGGTCTGGCGATACCTTAGAAAAAGAAAGGTTCACATAATATCATGACGAACCAAAATATTGAAAGTACGGGTTCGTATTAACATACATAACAAGGAAGTATCACGATGCACATGAAATACATACATGTATGAGGTCCCATAATTTTGGTTCATAACATAACATTAATTACATTTCCTTTCTCTTTTCCTCCATGACGTATTTCATATATGTATCATGTATACATGACAATCATCACATAACTTTACATGGAAAGATATAACATGTCATACATGACGTTTCATTTCATTCGTAACATAGCATAATGGAATCACATGCATACATAGCATACCTCACATGTCAATACAAAGAGCATATAAGCATCACATAATTGATATGATACATGCAGGAGCTGCATGCACCATCATACATCAATCAATCATCTAACTCCAATAATAACGTCACTTATATAGTTGGCCTTAGTCGAATTTACTAATTACTCTATAGTTGTTCCAAAAACTATGCTTCAAACGTTAAATCTCATCTATATCATCCATAGCACATACTTAAGACATATTAATATCTTAACCTAGCGTAAGGGTCGCGTGATTGGGCCGTGAATTTGTGGGTTGAGCTGAATAAGAGCGGGTCGTGAACTGTACCTGATCGAATCTTTTACTCGTGGATTTCTTTTCCTTGACCCGATTCAAAACCGATTTTCTCTCTCTCTCTATTATTTTTTAATTACTTTTTCTAGTTCTTTTAATCTTATTTTATAACGAAGTTATCAACACGAATTTCTACCACATTTTCTTTGTCAAAAGTAGGCTACATTGTTTCTTTTTATAGTTTATGTTAGATACATTCCATATAAATAATGAATATCTCATTATATACTTTTGAACTTTAATAATCTATTATGTTATGCAGTTTGACGTGTTATTTCTTTTCTTATCAAAGTTGATGGACCTCAAACTAGAGGCCTTAAAAGGGGACAAAGAAGCTGTTGAGCTGGTGAGTGCTAAAGTTCCGAGACCGAGACAGGAGTTCGATACTGAAGAAGGAGAGAAAGCAAAGCAACTAGGAGGCTAGACGAGAACTCGAGAAGCGTGTGTTGAAGATTGTTGGGAGGGAGAGTCCCATATAGATTAATTTATGGAATGATCCTGAGTTTATAAGTAAGGAATACATTTTCATTGGTACGAGGCCTTTTGGAGAAGCTAAAATCAAAGTCATGAAAAGTTATGCTCAAAATAGACGCTATCATACCATTCTGGAGAGTCATTATTCATAACTGAGTGAAAGTACGATAAATAACCCTAGCGGAAGAAGGAAAGGAAAATGTCATGAACAAAACCAACAATATCCTAATCTTTCTTATAAATTAAGTCCAACAAAACTCAACAACTTCTCCTTAATCGAGACTTGACGATCTTTTGAGCCCTTATTTCTCTAGACCCCTTCGAACAAAATACACTCTTTGTTGGATTTTATACACATGGCTAAGTTAAGGGCATGACTCTGTTACCATGTTAGATATCACGAATCTCCACAATGGTATGATATTGTCAACTTTGAGCATAAACTCTCATGAATTTTCTCTTTATATGGGTGTAAAAACCTCTCCTATCAAACACGTTTTAAAAAATTTGAGAGGAAGCTTTCTGAAAGAAAACAATATGCGCTAGCAGTGGTTACATATATCATTCCTTTGTTTGATAAGTTAAAAGCGTGTGGTTAGTTAGACCATGATTGAGACTTTAAACTTTGAAATGGTGGGAGAATTTCATGAGCTGGCTAAAGAGGATCTCCATCTACACTTGAAAACTTTCTTGTGAGTGAATGAGAGTTTTGAAGAATTCCCCTAACTTCGTTTTGTTCAACTTCATTCTTCGTGAGAGAAAACAATGAGTGTGTGGTACTGCTATGCAATAGAAAGAAGATCGATGTAACTATCAAGCTTCGTTATCGATCGTCTTTGTTTAACAACAATTTTCTAATGTTACGATATGTTACATTATGCTTATGTGATGTTTGCTATGATTTTGTAGTGAAATGCATGTACTTCCAGGTTATGTCATGAATGTGAATATACCATGTTTATATTATATCTTTGAGACATTTAAAGGGTAGTAACGGGTTACTAGTCATTGGTTCGATTCAAATGGAGCAGGTACCAGTCAGGTTTGATGTAGGTGTTTGGGTCGTGGGTCGTCCACCTGCGTTAGAGCCCCAGTCGCTGCACCAACACAATTCTTTATCAGACGAAATTTTCATGTAAATCCCTAAATTCTTAAACTATGGAAGGAAATGTTGCTATCAAAAGTTGACTAAAAATTAGGTATTTAATTTTATCGGGACTTTGGTGCTACGACTGAGTAATTATTGTATCCAATGTGTCTAGACAAAGACTATGGTAGGGTTTTGTTTTCTCCCTTGGTTAGGACCGAATTAAAATCAAATTAGGACAAACACTACCAAAATTAGATATAAAATAAATTTCAATTATAAGATGAGTTTGTTCAACTTTATTACAAAAGAAAAAAATGAATTTGTGATACCATTACAAAACAAAATACAAAAGGCTCAAACACAAAGATGGACTGACGCTTCAAAATGACCTTCTCTATGACCATCAACTCTCGAATACTCCTCCACCTCGACCAAAAGCTTGCGAACACCTAAAAAGGAAGGAGAAAAATGATGAGTATATAACTATACTCCGTAAACAACCTACTTGTAGGCTTTCATCACATTCATGACCTAGTAGGTGACTACAGGCTTTACTCTAGGCTCTAAGTGTTTTGCTCTTACTACGCAGTTTTGGGTAGCTAGCTTAGCCTAGGCAGCTGTAACCAATATCTGAAGATAAGGTGTGACCTCAAAGGACTTTGTCAAAATTTAGTGCAACATAGTTTGAATTAATCAATTAATATTTGGAGAATATATTAGTTATAGAATATATCTTAGCTTTAGTTAATATTTTTCTCTTTAGATTTGATTGGTAGTATATTTTATTTTATTCCCAAAATTTAGTTAATATTTTAGGTATTAGTTGGTATCTTGAATCCTATTTAAAGGTTGTGAATATCAATGAAGATTGAACCTTCGATTCCAATTCTATTTCTCATTATTCTTTCGTTGAGTAATAATATTTTTAGATCTACTCACACTTTTGAGTAGTAGATATTGCGGACTCCATACCAGATGAGGATAACCTGGTGTTGCTAGAATGATCTTCATCAATGGGAGGCTAGCTGGCAAACCCATCCCATAAGCCGTCTAGTCGCCCAAGGTTGGTGGGCGCAACTCCCCAGTACATGCAAGCTTCACTAGCTACCCACATGATTAACGTCTACTCACAAAACGGATCATCTGCACAAGATAACCACTAATTACTCGCATGATCAATGCCCGACCATAAGATGGATCCACCGTGCAGGGTAATCTAACAAACCATCGAGTCACACATTTTTAACCAGCCTCATGCCTACCTCAATAGTACCATATTGAAGTGGGAATAGAAGTGGAAGTTCCTCAGATACTATAATAGCTAACAGGGTGATAACATCTATCAAGCTCCCAGAGCATAGATACACAAATTTTCATCCTCCATACTAACACGACTCTGTACAAATAGTAATAAACAATCCATTACATCATGAGAGAAGTAATTCAGTTACGTAAATACCTAGCATGACTATTTTCATGTTTATCCAATCGTCCTAGGCGCAGGTAATATCAAATCTGACCACCTATGGTTTGGTTTTACTAATATCCATGCAAATCCAAGCTATCCCTATAAGCATTACTCCCTAAAATATGCGTGGTTACTTACTTGATTGTGGAATCTTCCAAAGCTAGCTTTCTTGTGTGCTAAGAGCTCCAAAATTCTTGAAATTTCTATGGTAGGTCCTAATTGAAGTAAAATTAGGGTTAGTATTGAAATCGGGATGAAAAATCATCGAAGAGAGGCCAAACGGGTGAAATTCACCTCTCACAAGCTTGTCATGCGCTTTCCACGTACTTGGAAGGTATTTACGTGTGCAATCCACACTCCATACCACATGCCTCAGTGAAGGGTAATCGCATTGGCTATGTGACACATGTCATCTTTTGATTGACGCATTTGGCTCTGACAATAGGAGTTTGATCCTTGAGGTACCCAAATTTTCTTCAATTTTTCTTATGTTGATACGTGGCATACATAGGATCGATTCAGATCGTTGGACGCAGGCCCAGTTCATGGATCGGGTGAGCGGGTCGATCTCGATTGTCACTGGCATCGCAATGCACTGAATGTCTCCTTACGCGACTTTTTCCACTTACGAGACTTTGTGGTTCGTGGTTCATGTTTTTCCCTTTTCCTCTCAAAACAAAAACAAAAACTTTTCTACTCAAAATCTCAGTGGCTCTTCGTGAACTTCTCGTCTAAAACAAACATGCAAATTTTAGAAACCGAATCCTTAAAAAGTACTTTTCTTTTAAATTAGAGCACTCGATCAAGAATTTAAAGATTTAATTCCATATTCGTGGCACATATTTTAACTACTCGATAATAAAATAGAATGCACCCAAAGTTGTTCATAAAAACAAGATAGAAAAAGTAAGAAGAGCACACCCATGTTTGCGGTGCGTTAATAATACACAACTATTCCAATCCTTCACCAACGTTTAGTGGTGAGGCCATCACATCATTTTATGCCCACCATCACTTTAAATTAATTTACATCCGTTCCCGACATGATCAAGTTAGTAAACATTATCCTCACAAACCAACACGACGAGATTTTTCATTCTGTTTTGTCTTCACTCACATGCATGCAGCTTAAAAAAATTCTTAGAAGGTCACTCAAGCATATCTTAATTGCCCATCTTTAAGATTGCTCTCATTTGAATGTGATCTCAGTTCATTTATGCCGTTATTATGTAAACAATAATTTAAAGGCGGGTAGTTTTTGACTATAAAAAATTAAAACTTAAAAATAAATGAATTGATGTACCCATTGAGTGGGTGCAAACAATTTATGCCTATCATGCTAGAGAAATGTGTAGGAGACTATTTTCTTTTATTTTGTTCCTTTATAATATTATCATTATTTATTTTAGCTTTAAATGAAAAATAATGTTTTAATTATATTTTTTTTTATAAAAAAAAGAAGATCGGAAAGTAATGGAGCAATGAAGAGAATATTAGTGGTGGGACGGGTGATAAATGGAAGTAATAATCAGCTTGAATCTCAAGGGACAATTCGAAGAAATTGTTTGACGATAAAGTTCTCCTCCACCTTGTCGCTGAACAAACTGATGTCGGTAACGATGATCGTCAACTTCATGGTAAAGTCGTATATTAACTCACTGTCCTTCATACGAATCGCTTCAAACTCAATCTTTAAGGTCTACATATTTGTTTCCTTGGATGCACGAATTGATGGGTTCATTCAATACGTTAATACCTCCATTAAAACATGTGTCCTCCTATGTTTTTCAGATCAAAATCTTAATCTTGCACCTTAGACCAACTCTGCCATCTCAACTTCGATACTTTCATTGCTTTTTATTATATTCTAATTCTTATTTGTATCCGACATTAGGTTTGAAGGGACTTTGTTTAATAAAAATGTTCTCCGAAAAAACTCAAAATTTTGAAATTTTATAGCTTCTAGCGCTTTAACGAGAACTTATTGTTGTCAAAATATAGACAAGAAAACGTATATAAACATCTCTACTAATATAGTGTTTATTGTCACAATTATGCTTATCTAGAGCATATTGTCTATGACCGCATGTCCATATTCATTAGTGGGTTTGTCCAAGGTTTTCACTTTTTGCCTCCACTACTTTTAAAAGTGGTTGCTGTTAGACGAACACGACTCTCCACAATGGTATGATATTGTCCACTTTGAGCATAAGCTCTCATGGCTTTGCTTTGGGCTTCCCAAAAGACCTCATACCAATGGAAAGTGTATTCTTAGATTATAAACCCATGACCATTTCCTAAATTAACCGATGTGGGACTTTCATCATCCAACAGTTGCATCCTTTGATATGTTGCTAGGAGACATTCTATCCCATACATTTCATTTTCCATATTTGGAGATTTAAAAAATTATTTAAAATTCAATTTTCCATATTAAAAAAAACTAATAATTTAAACACGACTTTAAAATAATTAACCCAAAATTCAAAATATATAGTAAAAAGAAAAACATATTTGTAATAATATAATCAAATATTCAGACTCTAAAGTAAGGATTTATTAGGAAAATAACAAAATAGAGATTAAATGGGAAGGGAAGGGCAATTTTGTCATTTCATAACAAACAAGAGAGAACAAAATAATGAAATAAAATACAAAAATGAAAAATCATAATTTACTCTCTTTTTTTTTTTAAATAAAAAAACGTAAAGTAATTAATATATTTATATAAAAAAATAAAATGATTAATCAAATCCAAGGCCAAAATGCAGCCTTGACGCTCCAGTTGACTCAAAAAACAGCATTAAATAATGAAAATTTCCGCAATATAATATTATTCTAAACAAGACAAAATAAAAAGAGTAGAAATAATTAATTTTTTTAGTTAAATTATTTGAAATTTAATTTTTTTTTTTTTTCAGGAAGAAAATTTTCCCTTTCTCTCTCACAAACCAGCCTCGGGGTTCTCTCTCTCTCTCGCTCTCTGAAAGTGAGAGAAAAAAAAACCCCCTAAAAAGCTTTTGATCTCGCCGGATTTTCGTCTCTGTCAACAACGACGGTGAGAATCTTCTTCTTTAGTTTAGATTTTTCTGCTAGATTACGGTGGATCAGATCTTGGTTAGGGTTTTTGGTTTCTGTGAAAAGCCCTAACGGAGGGAGGAGGAGGAGGAGGAGGAGGAGGTTAATTTGTGAAGTGAGTGGAAGGAGGAGTGAAGCGGTGCTGAGACTGAATCGGAGCGGAAATGTACAAGAACCAGCTTCAAGAGCTGGCACAGAGGAGTTGCTTTAATCTTCCCTCGTATACCTGCATTAGGGAAGGACCAGACCATGCGCCGAGGTTTAAAGCTACTGTTAACTTCAATGGCGAGGTCTTTGAATGCCCTCAGTACTGCTCTACTCTCCGTCAGGCCGAGCACTCCGCGGCTGAGGTTGCCTTGAACGCTCTCTCTAACCGTGGTCCTCCTCATTCACTTGCGGCTAGGATACTGGTGAGTCTTGTTTGGTTTTCGTTTTTGTTCTTCGGCTTGCTTCTCTTCTCTGCTTGATCTTCATTTCTTTGTTGTCTTTTCATGCGACGAATCAATGTTACTGTTTGCGGTTGGATTATTCGGTTCGTGGAAATTTGTTAGTAGTTTTAGGTTTTTGTTATGTTGGTATTGGTTGAGCATTTTGTTCTTGTTCTCTTCTTAAGATTCCTGATATCATTTCCGGTTTCTGCGGCTAAGAAGCGTAGATTATAGAGAAATTGCACAATCTGTGCGTCTTGTTAGCGATGGCACCTTTGCACCTCAGCTAGAGTTCTTAGTCTGCGAGTATCTCGGTCGATGGGTTGATTAAGATCTTAGATATGGTTTTTCTGCTATCTGGGGTTAAAATGATGGCTGTGACATGGTTTAGGTTGGGGTTTTTCTTCTCAGTTGCGAGATGGACTTGTAATCTCTCTGATCGGCCGGAATTCTCTGATTAGGCCAACGGTTTAAGGTCATCTTCGAACGAAAAGTGTGACCTCGTGACGCTTCCTCGAGGTTCCGTTCCGTGAGATGAGGTATCTAGTTTTGTTTACCTTATTATCTCGGAACCAGCTGTCGGGAGTAATCTTCTTGGGCTAGGTTGTGTAATTAATTTGCTCATTAATGGGTTTGTCGGTCGTCCAATTGTGTTTTCAGTAGCTCCCAAGTTTGGCTCATTTTATTTCTTCGATCTCATAAATAACCAGATGGGTATTGTAGCAACGGCAGGGACTAGGAATCCAGCACCAATTGTGATAAACTTGTTGGAGGCTGAATTTCAGATGGAGATGATGATTCATGTTTAACCAATTAGAAATTTGGAGGACGTTGTCATTATCTCCGTTCATAAAAGTTCATAGGCTTTATAACTTCGGTTTTAGATGTAATTATTTCTCCCCAAGTTTCAGTAGAAATTGTTTGACTAAACTTTTCTTTGCTGTTTTTTAAATTATATTTCTCCTCTTTTGCGGTTCGAGCAAATATCATGGTGTTTTAAAGAGGGGGATGAGAAATTTTCGGTCGATTTCTGGGTTACTTTTCCTTGAACATTGTTATGTATGAGATGAATCTTCTGATATGAGGATGTGATCTCTTTTGTATCATTTCATTTAATCGATGGAATTGTTTGCATATGGAGCTTTAGGTTCTATGTATGGCCTTAGTGATTTCAGTTAAATGAGAATATTTTGCGATAGTATCTCAAAATGGCAAATATTTTGTCCTTCGAGCTGCCTTCCCTGATTTTTGGTTTAATTATTTACTTTAATCATCTATGATCAGGATGAAACAGGGGTTTACAAGAACCTCCTGCAGGAAATTGCGCAAAGAGTTGGAGCCCCATTGCCACAATATACAACGTTCAGATCAGGCCTTGGTCACCTACCTGTTTTTACAGGGATAGTAGAATTGGCTGGAATAACATTTACTGGAGAACCGGCCAAGAACAAGAAACAGGCAGAGAAGAATGCTGCAATGGCAGCTTGGTCAGCTTTAAAACAATGTGAGTTTTTCTTTTTAATGCCTACCTTGTATAACTATTATCCAGAGAAAAGAGAGAATAGACCATCTTATTTTGTGCATATTTTGTGCAAGTTAATGGTATGCAACCCGTATATGATATTATTATATGCAGGAACATGTAGATTAGCATTCAAACGATTCCTCTGCAACATGTTGATGCCAACGGTCTTTATTATATAGCCTAAATTTCCTATGGAAGCTAAATATCCTATGCTTGATGTGCTAATGGCATGCTTAACAATTAAATATTTTGCCTTCATCAGTTTTTCTTGTGCGAGTCTGAGAGAACACACCATGGGATTCCTTCTAATAGATAATATCAATTGCGAACACTCCTGATTATAATTCAAAGTTGCCATAAGTTTATTCTAAGAATATTGCTTATCTTATCATGGTGCCTATTTATTATATATTCTGGTGTTGAGCTAACATTTTGTTTTAATTTTGGCTAGTGGCTAAACAATCAGCAAGCTCGTCATCAGAACCAGAAAACAATGATGAGCTGGAGCAGATCACGATAGCTCGAGCCTTATTGAATTATCGCCAAAAGGAAAAAATGGCCATGTCAAATCCAAATGCAACAATACCATTCCCCAAAAAACTTCATATTCAAAGTCCAAGGCCAACTAGTCCCCAACGTCCCCCTGCACCAACATCAAAAATTCTTCCCTTAATTTGCCAAAAGGCAGCTCCTCGAAGCAGAGCGCCATTTTCTGCAAATAAAATACTCATTCCACAATCCCCAACTTCTGCAGTAGAAGGCTCTGGAACCTGCCCCCAGAAGTTTAGTGCCGGAGCTGCTCTTTCTTATATTCCTGTTCAGCAGTTTAGGGCATCTTGCCGTGGTATTGCCCCACCAGTGACAATTAGAACAGCAATGCCTGTGTATTCAGCCCCGCCTCTACCGCAACCATCGAAGCTACCTCCACAGCAAGTAATTCGAGTCCCACCTGTACGTATTGCCCCTCCCGTTTCGATTAGGCAAGCAATACCTGCTTTTGCTGCTCCCCCAGCACGCAAGGAAAGTCCTCCTGTACTTAAAAAAGAAGATTGTCCAGCTTCAACTGCTTCAAAGGAAGAGCCTCCTGCTCCTTCCGCACCCTCACAGCCTACTAAATCACCACCTGCTGAAGTAGAAGAACAAGCTACAACCACAATGGCAAACAGTCAGCAAGAAATTAAGACATTAGAGAACCTCGAACAACTCCAAATTTGATGAGTTGAATCATTAGAAAGACCACATAGGAGATCGTCGTATTGTTTTGCAGTAAAGTTAGGTTATCTCATCTTGTCCGCATCTTATTTTGAGTGTCAACCTTTTTTCTTTTCATCTTTTTTGCCCTGTTTTGTTCAAACTTGAGTTTAGAGGTGGAAAAGTTGGTATCAGCATCCCTGCAGCAGCAATGCCATTCATCAGCAACTGTGTCAACTTATGTACTTATATATTAGTATCTTTGGGCATGTTGTCCTATCTTCTCCAAGAATTCTGTTCTGATTTATGCATGCCATCTTTGCATCCCAAGATAGGCTGATGAGAGCCCCAGGATGCATGGATGTTGTTAAGGTTGTCACCAAGAGTCTCTAGTTAACCACCTCGCCCATCGCTCGGGACCCTCATTTCCATTTTTCTGCATTCCTCCATTTTCATGCATATATATATATATATATATATATATGTATGTATATTTGCTGATCTTGTCTGAAACAGTGATTCTAAAGATGTTCATGTTGTGGCTTCCTTCTGATGGGGCCCTTCAAGAGGCATGGAATATTTCAGTTGCCGAAATTCATGGAAATGATTGGTATTTGTATTTCAGGTGGTGTATTGCAGTATTTTAAGGACATATTCTTCCATTAGTAGCATAATTTTGATCCAATAATATGTGACTTGAAAGGCCAAGGCCCCATAAATGCATTATTTTAGACATTAATGGTATTAGATGAAACAGGACAGTTATAATGGAACATAGCTTCCCATTTAATGAAGAAAGATGTAATGATTTGGGCATAGTGAATGCCAACATGCATATATCATCATCATTGACAGAGGCTTTCCTATTATTCCTTCATACCCATTGGCCTAAACAGACCAATCCTTTGCCTCCCCACTAAAACCCATATGTTTGACCAAACAAGAGTTTTTGGTAATGGAATCTTTTTAATCTTCGTTTCGGTTTCGGATGTATTGTAATGAATTTTACGATCATGGAGAATGACATAAGATACAAGACGTTTTTCCGTCTCCATGCCTATCGGTAGACATCCCTTGGAACAATTTTTTTAAAGTTTAAAGTTTTAACGATAGAAGAAAGGCACAACTTTTGAGGGAAATCCATTAATTAAGAGCCAATATATCTTAAAATAAATAAATAAATAAATAAAATTAGAAAAATGAAATTATCGGGGTACTGATTAGTGGGGGATGGAGAGGTCGAACAACTCCCCCACCACGTCATCATTCTAAATAATTTTACATTTGATTTGAAGGGAAGGGAATGAAATGAATGACATAATTGGGCCCATTGGGCTGGACCCAATATGGGCCCAACTTGCAATCAATATTCCTTTCCACACCCATTAGCAAGATGCAATCATAATGAAATTTGATTTCATCTATTTGACTTTTCTATCGACACGTCAATATTTGACCTTGACCTGTAATGTGAATCTTCGTCTTTATCACCCCTTATCATTAGTCTTCACCATTATTCTCCATGTGCCTTCGCTGCTCTGATAGCTTTTTTTTGGACTTTTCAAAATGCCTCATACCAATAGAGACAGTATTCTTTGATCATAAACCCATGATCATTTTCTAAATTAGTCCGGAGTTAAATAGGTAGAGTTTTAAAATTTTAAATTAACTTTGAAATTATTTTATTTAAAGAAAAAATTGAAGTAAGAATTAGGAAATAGTTTTGGAGTGGTATCGTGGAAAGCATGTGAGGTTACTTTTGGCGCGTGCCAAAAGCGGTTGGAAAAACTATTGCCACCGCCCAAATTCAACCTTCTTTATTGTTTCCATCAATAAAATCATGCCACGTGTACTAATGACGTGTACAAAATATCTGTGCCAGAATCTACTCCGCACTGACTCTCTGCGGCGGAAAGATTTTATTTTATTTTATTTTTTAATTTTATTGTTGACTTTTTATTTATTAAAATAATAATAATAACAATACCCTTATTAAACGTTAAAATCTTTTTAAAATATCCACAAAATATACTTTTGGATAAAAAAAAAATGTTAAATTTTACTTTTAATAATATTTTAAACTTTGAAAATTAAAAAAAAACACTCACAAAATTGGACAATGTTTATGTCTTAACTATTTCATCCTAATTCTATTTATTAACGTTTATTAATAAATTAATTTAAACATAATTATATAATATGAGCTTCTAAAGTTATTTGTTTTTGTTTATTTCGATGTATGTTTCACTAAACTAATTCAATCATCTAATCATATCACATTATTCAACCATTATTGTAAAGTTATTGATTATGCTATTTCAAAAGCCATAGAATTCCTTCATGCTCACCCATGTTTGCCTTTAAAACATGTTAATCATACTATTAATTTCTTTGGTCTCTTATAATAACAAAACTTTTGTTATAACCCTATTTCTTCTTATATGTTTCATTAATAAGACCAATCAACTCAAAGGGTTCCTTTTTATGCTAGCATCATGGGGTCGTAGTAGCTTCCGACTAGGCCAATCAAGTAAGTGACCCTACTGTCAGTTTGGTTCTAATTGTGTGTTGTATGATGACACTTGCCACTGGCTTTGCACGTGTTATATGTTGTGTATGCAAACTGTTACAAAATGATATATATATGATATAATATGATATGTTAAGATATGATATGATATGATATGATATGTTAAAACTGTAGGTTGAATTTTGTTACGTTAGGAACTATGAATTTAGATTGAGAATTGTATTCCAAGTGATTGATTAATTTATCTCCCTATTTGAACATGCATGAATAAGCTGAGATAAGAATAGGGGGTAAAAACTAGGATGATTTTACAATGATCAAGGTTCGGACACTTCCAATAGACCAAACACTCCATGATCGTGAGAGGGAAATCAAAGAACTATACCTAGTGCTCCTAGAACCAAATTAACTTTGAGGAGCTAGTCCAAAAAGTCATGAAAATGAGAGTCCAAGTTTCAAACTTAGATGTCTTAAGAACCTAGTTAACTATCATGACATCAAGGAAAGACTAAGAAACTTTACTGTGCCTATAATAGTTTTGGATGATATCCCTAGAGCCAAATTGCTTTACATTTTATCTAGTACTTCATTAGCATTACTTAACCACCTCGTTGGACCTATTAATACCCTTAAGTGGTGGATATTTAGGAATATGTACCATCGAGCTTGACACAGATTAGTCAGATAGGATAGCACATCAAAGTGACACAATTCCCATTAGCGTGTGTGGAAATGGGTCAAGGACCTTTGACTATGGTCAAAACTCCGTAAAATCATCCAAAGAGGAGATGCGGGACCACACATATAAACCTAGTAGATGGCCCACATATAAGGTCCCTCTCCAGATTGTTTGACTTTTATGGTTTCTATGGAAGGATGGCTAGTTTAACCTTACATATCTTGAGATGTGATTCAAAGTTTTGATCTAAGTTTTAAAGAGGTTGTTAGTATAGTATTTTACTAAACTTATGAATTTTTTTTATGATCCATGGTTGAGTAGAATTTCCAATTTTTTTGGATTTTAGCTACCGTAAAGTTCTTATCAACACTAATTATTTTTTTTAACGGTATGAAATGGCAGTAGTTCATTTTCTTCTTTTTTATTGCTAATGCCAATTTTTAATGGCGAGAAATATGAGTGGTGGAGCATAAGGTAGAGAATTTTTCTTAGATCGTAGGAGATTAGGGACTTCGTGGTGTATGAGTTTGTTGATGTATTAGAACCCACAACACAAGAAAAGAAAAAAAAAATGTCAATGTTGTGTTCATTATTCAGCAAGCAATTTATGAGACTACCGTTTCGCAAATTGCAGTAGCAACCACATCAAAACAAACCTGATTAATCATGTAGGAGTTTCTAAAATATTCAAATGTCATAACACTGAAATTTCAATATCTAACACGTGATTTTGAAACATTGCTCATGAACATTGGTGAATCAATTGTTGATTTTTTGTCAAGAGTAATAACAATAATTAGTCAGATGCGTGCCTATGAAGACAAAATTTCAAATGAAACAATTATTGCAAAGGGGTTGAGAAGTTTAACTCCAAAGTTCGACCCTGTGGTGCCTGCTATAGAAGAAGCTATGGATCTATTAGTACTCTCCGTTGATGAACTTATGAGCTCGTTTCAAGCTCATGAGTCAAGAATCAATAGATGGTCAGAAATGAATGAAAAAAAATGCACTTCAAGTGAAAGAGACAACCAACAACCAGGAGAAAATATTCGTTCAGCAAATAAAGGTCGTGGAAGGGGAGGATTTCCTAATAGCCATGATGGTCGAGGTAATATGGGTAGAGAGAGAAATGATTGACAAAGGTAGTTCAATGAGCAAGGTAACCTAAGGAATGAATTCAATTTTACCATTGCAAAAGTTATGAGTATATAAAAATTAATTGTTGGTATAAAGATTAGCCAATGAATTTTACCGTAGAAAATGAGGAAGAAAAAGGCTTTCTATGGCTTGTAGTGATATTAACCCAAAAAGGTGATTTCATGGTTTGTTGATAGCAGATAGATGCTCGAACCATATGAAAGACACCAAATCTATATCATAGGAGCTTGATGAGACACAAAGAATTAAGGTGCAACTTGGAAATACAAGAGAGATGCAAGTTGAAGGAAACCACATAGTGAAAGTTGAAACAAAGCATGGTAAAGTAAGACTGTTAGATAATATTCAATTTGTGCCTAATCTAGGGTACAATTTATTGAGTGCTATCAAATTGATGACTAGAGAACATTCTGTTCTATTTGATGAGAACACATGTGTCATTCAAAATAAGAAATCGAGCGAGAAAGTTCAAATTGTCATGACTTCAAATAAGATGTTCCTATTGGATGTTTCTAACCTAGAGAATTTTGTTCTTGTTGCTAGCATAAAAGATGACTTATCGCTATGTATTTGAGATATGGGCATATTCATTTGAAGGGCCTGAAAATAATCAGGGATAAATGTATGGTTTTTAGATTACCAAAAATTGATTCAATTAGTTTAGGTAAAAGATGCATTTATGACAAGCAAACTATAGAAATTGTTTCGGATGGAAAAGATAAAATAGCTTCAAATTGTCTAGAACTGATTCATACTTATTTATGTGAGTATATGAAGATTAGGAGTATTTATATTTTACTATTTATTGATGACTAACTAAATCTTTGGGTAGGAGTATTTATATTTTACTATTTATTAATGACTATAGTAGCATGAGCTCGCTCTACTTCCTACAACACAAGTTAGAAACTTTTGAAAACTTCAAGAATTTTAAAGCTACAATGGAAAACCAAAATGGCTGTGAGTTCATATCGAAAGAATTCAATCTATTTTGTGAAGAAAAGGGCATGCAAAGGGAGTTAACAACTCCTT